ATTTCTTACGCTATTGATATATCGTTAAGCTAAACATTAAACGAAGTATAGTTCTTAGGCTTTATTAAGTCGCTAGATTATAAATACGATTTACTTTATTAATTCGCATTTTCTAATATATTATTATATAGAAGCTCGAATTCAGAAATTTCGGGAATCTCGAAAATTTCGAGAATTTCGAAAGACTTCGTAACTTGCGATCGCGAAGTAAAGTAACTTGATTAGCTTCTTAGATCGCGAAGTAAAGTAACTTAACTAGCCCCTCATTTCTTTCCTTTACCTTACTATATTTTCTTTTAACACTTTATAATTAGACGTAACTCTACTCCTCGAGAAAAGACTTTTTACGATTTTAACGATTTAGAAGTTATCGCTGAGGAAGTAAAGCTTTAATAATCTTATTCGAGATTTAAAGAAGTAGGAATAGCGAATCTTAAGACTCTAAAATTGATCCTCTAGGGTTAAATTAAACGCGTATTCGAATAATTCAAATTCTTTCAATCGAGTCTTATAGATCTCTGTAAAATAATCGATTATATTCGATTTAAAGTAAAAGAAGATTTGCTCTCGAAATAGTGGTATTACGAAAGCTTACTATAGTGTATTCTTAATTATTCTTCTCAAATTTATCTAAATCACTTTTATAAATCTAAGAATAAATTGAAACGAATAAATACGTTTTACGATTAGGATCCTTATCGTCTCTATTTATAGCGAGGCTATTTTTCATATATACTAAGCCTTTACTATTAAAATTTAAATAACTTCCTTAATTCCATAACTCGTTACTTAAGAATATCTTCCGTCTCGAAATCTAAGTTAATCTTACGTTGAATTAAGAGTCTATCTAAGAATAAAGACTATTATTAAAATAAGACTATTTTTATCGAGAAAGTATCTAAAGATATTAATACTCCTCTCCGCTATATAAATCTTTCGAATACTTAAATTACTAAGATAGTGAAAATGTAAGCTTTACTAAATTCCAGCGATATTAATACTAGCCTTAGATCTTCGCGAGTAAAGATCTATATTAGAATTATATTATAAAAAACTAAATAGCGAAGATAGATATAAAAGACGATAAGGGAATTAAGTAATATTATAAGATTATATTCGAGATCTAGTAGTTATATAAAGATAAAGGGGAAGAACGCGACTATTCTCGAGATGTTAGCGATTACACTAAAATCACGAAGCATAATAACCACAATCTTTATTAAGGGTATCTCTACTTTATTTAGAACTCTAAGTATAACTTCGAGAAAGCTAAAAAAGTCGCTATAAAGAAGACGGATTTCTTGAAGAAGACTGGGGATACTTTGTTAGAGACTAAGAAACGGACGGTATCGCCGTTTAACGTTAACATCAAACGACTCAAGAAGGACGGAGCCTCGACCCACAAGACGAGGTCTGGGATAGGGAATACTACGATCGAAGCTGAATTCTTGAGAAAGACCGCCGAGAAGCCGGACTCTGAGAAGCCGGACTCTGAGAAGCCGGAACCCGAGAACCCAAGTGATGAGGTAGTGATCAAGAAGGAACCGATTTACCAGCCGTTCGTCTTCGAGGATTTCGATTCTAAGCTGGAAGTTAAGGAAGTAGATACTTACGATAATTGCGCACGCATGAAGAAGGAGATTAACTCGCTAAAGGATACTTTTTTAAGAACGCAAGGAAAGCTAATAGCACGTTTAACGGCGACGGAAAGAATCTATGAAATAGTTACTCCACTCTTAGCTTAGTATAAGAGCGTAACGAAACTTATTAGAGGCGCTGCGAAACTTTTATCTTCTCTAAACTAAGATTATAAGCAAGTTAAAGATAAGAAGGCCGATATCGAGAGTATTAAGGAATACCAGAATATTAATAAGTTATTGCTGGATAAGATTCTCGATACCTTGAATAAAGTGTAAGAGACCTTCGCTGAGGAATGCCTAGACCTGGCGGCCTTGGTGTTCGTTTACGACGACGACGGAAAGCCTTCCGCAGAGTTCGAAGAGTGGAAGGAAGGATTTTCCATTCCTGATGCTACGACTGAGGTGTAGGGATCCGGCCGGGCCTACTTTTCCGTTCCTGATGCTACGACTGGGGTGTAGTGTGTGCCTCAGATCCGACACGCTTTCCTTTCTCCGCCTCGGATCCGCCCGCACACCTTTTTTCCTACACTTTCACCAGGCCTTACCGGGATACTTTCACCGACATGCTTTCCTTTCTCTTCCCCGGATCCGGCCAGGCCTACCGCGATACTTTCACGTCTCTCAAGGAAAGCATATGCCTTCTTTTCTCTGCCTAAGATCTAGCACCCTTCGTGCTCGTTCCCGCAGAGTTCCAAGAGTGGAAGAAAGGACCTCACATCCGACCAGGCCTTACCGCACTTCTACGTCTCTCAAGGAAAGCACATGCTTTCCTTTCTCTGCCTCGGATCCGGCCGGGCCTACCGCGATACTTTCACGTCACTTAAGGAAAGCACATGCCTTCTTTTCTCTGCCTCAGATCT